ATTAAGAAGAATAAGTATTAGATAATTACCCTTGACGCGTTCTTCGCTCGCAAACCCGAGCTCTTACTTGAACCCTGCAAGCGCGAAGGTCTCCGACAGCTCGTACCCAAGAACTTGACCCGAACGGTCCAAGTCTCGAAGGTTAGTCGAGACCCGACCAATATAAACTAGAGTATTACGAACTTAAGGTTTTTCTCACTAATTATGAGATGCCTTTTTAGTTCCACTCAAGTGATTTTCCCAAATACCAAAACTTTGGTATTTATAAGGAAATCATCCTTGAACTTCCCATTCATGATCAATGTGGGAGAGTTTCAATATGTGCAAATCAATCATGAAGCAACAAGTGGCATGAGGTGAAAGGAGGAAAATGAGGACCACCCCAAGGGGGGGACCAACTCACTTTTCCCTCCTAACCAACCAACCAAAGGGGGGGACCATTTGCAAATGCCCCCCATGTCCCAACCACCATGACCGGTCCTCATGAGCATGGTGTGCTGGCTAGGATAGCTGGCAGCCTTGCTGGCCCCTAGCACCATGGCTGTGCTAGCATGCCAGCCAGCACATGCCTGTGCGCTGCCCAAGCCACGCACACCATGCGGGCTGGTGCTGCCGCATAGCCTGTGCTGGGCGCTGGTGCTATGCGTGGCCTAGCACACATAGCGCACCCAAGGTATGCGTGCTGCTAGCGAGCCACGCATGCCTTGGTGCATCGCTTGGCAATGCACACGCACGCAGCCCACCTAGGCGCTGTTTGGTGCGTGGTGCCTTGACGCCCAGCACGCACGCATACGCAGGCCAGCTAGGCGCTGTTTGGTGCGTGGTGCCTTGATGCCCAGCACGCACGCACACGCAGGCAAGCTAGGCGCTGCTTGGTGCGTTGTGTCTTGATACCCAGCACGCACGCACACGCAGGCCAGCTAGGCGCTGCTTGGTGAGTGGTGCCTTGATGCCCAGCACACACGCACACGCAGGCCAGCTAGCGATGGTGCGTGCTGCGATGCCTAGCACACGCACACGCACACACGCATATCCATGGCCTTGCGATGGTGCGTGTGGTGTGCCTCGGTCGTATGCAACCAAAAATATCACAACTTATCTAACTTCTAATAAACGTAGCTAGGGAAGTCGAGTTCGTATCCACAGGGAGAAGGGACCTAATAATCGGAATCCTATATAGAATTATGTTAGGCAAGTAGTAACCTAAGTAACAGTGGGGGTTTTCACGAGTAATGAAATCTAATGAACTAAACAAGAACAATAAATTAAGTGAATAGGAAATCAATGAGAGGAACGGTCTTGGTTATGCGAAATCCACTAATGAACTTACAAATTGATCATAGAAGTCTCTTCAATCAAACACTATTGAACACCTTGTTGTAGAATTCCTAGATTCTATATTCTCATAAATTAGTTAGAAATAGCAAAGCGCTCCTTTCTAACCCTTTCTAATGCACAATTTAAGACAAACGCTCTAAATTATCCACAAGAAGTAAATAAACGGAGAAATCAACAAGGATTGAATAAATTAACACAAGCGGTCTAATTTCTTCAATAATATTATTCCTTCTTCAAGTTATCACCCAAAAGCATGCATTCATAACCTAAAGTTGCTACTTTGGAAAGATTAATTAGATGCAAGCGTATCTAACAATTCTAAGCTAGCAATTGATTAAAGCAAATCATAAAATTAATTCAAAGGAATAAGAAATATTCAATAGATATCAAGAGAAGAGAAATCTCACAATTCGTAGTCAAAAGCTTCAATCTTTAACCAAGAATCCGGGAAGATTAAGCTTCCATGGATTTCAATTCTCAAACAAAGATTTTCTGAAAATTGTAAAAACTAAGAGATTGCCCAAGTAAAAGATAGATCCTTAAACCTAAACAAAAACTACCTATTTATATGTTTCCTTAACTTAATTAACATAATACAATAATAATAATAAAGTAATATCCAAACACGTGCCAAAACAAAGCCAAAATTGCTGAAAAAGAAGCCAAAAAGCCTCGAAAAACTGGAAGTGCCGCTGCCAGCGGCTATGGAGCAGCTGGCAGCGGCTATGGCAGAAGCTCAAGCTCTTCTTCCTCTGTAATCCCCGCTGCCACCGGCTCTGGCCACCTGCCAGCGGCCCTGGCAGCTTCTTGCTCCTGTTTCTGCTGTTTTTTCCTTCTTGCTTTGCTTACTTTCTTGCTTTGCTTCCTCTTTTCTTCAAACTTGCTTTCTTGCCTCCTTGTGAATCAACAAGCCATGCTTCATACACTCTCAAATCATCATCCAAGGTCCGCCTACTCATAGTACTCTTCACTTCATTCCCGAGCTCAACTCACTCACTTTCACTCATAATTCTCCTCTTTTGCACATAAGTGAGACAACGAGTCAAAACTCACAAAAGCTAATAAAAGTACATGTAAAGCATCAAAACACACCCTAAAATGCTTCTCTCAACACATGATAAGAAGGCTTATCAAATTCCCCCATGCTTGAACCTTTACTCGTCCTCGAGTAAACTTAGAAAAACAAATTCTCCTCACTTGGTTCAAAACAGAAGATGGTGAAATCTAACAAGCTCTACGCACTCAATCTCAACAAAGCATCCTAGTACTTATCAACCAATCACAATCACACTCCCCCATACTTCACACTTTGAATCTCCCTTTTTTCTTATTTATCAATTCATCCCCAAAATCAACTTGGAACGATAAACGCATAGCCATGAGTATGAATATTCTCAACCGCCTAAAGAAATGAAATTTTTGATAAAATTGGACAAACAAAAACTCAACTTAACCAAAAATCTCATAAAAACACTTCCACATTCAAGAGTCAAGATAAACAACTCTCGCTTCTTAAATTCCTAAGATGATCAACACTTCCCCCAAACTCCAACTATCTCCCAAAATCACCAAGATGAAACCTACCCGAAACCTCCTTATATCTCCTCCACTTATGACACCGACTCCGGCAAATAGATGCGAAATTTCCTTGAAGAATCAAATTCACGAACTTTTCTCTCTTTTTTCTCTCATTTTGCCTAGGAGCCTTTTCGGGTTTTCATCCTAGCCTCTCTTCTTTTTTCCAAATCTCACTACCTCACCCGCTCATTAGCCACTTTTTTGCTTAGGTCGCCCTTTCGGGTTTTCAACCTAACCGGGCCCCCATTTTTGCCTAAGCCGCCTTTACAGGTTTTCGACTTAGCTGGTTTCTTTTTCTTTTTTTTTTTCATTTTTCATTTTTTTCGTTCTTTTGCATTTTTTCATTGAAACACAATTGAAATAGCTATACAAAACCATCATATTAAGATAACTATACAAATATCAAAAATATGCAAGAATTGCTTCCCCCCCTACTTGAATGAAACATTGTCCTCAATGCAAGAACAACAACAATTAAAACAAAAGTATGGGAAAGGAAGAAGGATGAAAAACCTCAAGGAGAAGGACCTCCGGAGCCGGAAGGACCAGCATCATCAAGAATTTCAAAAATTTCGAGAAGAAAAATGAACTATGGGGACCCCAAGTAAAGCCCATGGGAAGATCATGCCAACCAAAAGCATTTCTAATGACAGCATAAGGCATGACATAGTTCTTATTGTTAAGATTGAAAGAAATTCTTGACATCCCTTAGTCAAAGTGGAAAGGAATTCATGTATACCTCACATAAGTAGGTGCGCTCGTGCTCCATCACCTCCTCTAAACCAACCTCTTGCAATGCCTCCAAATCAAAAACTTTGTGCATTGCACTATATATACTCTTGGGTTGTTGGAGTTCAAATAGCTTGCTCCTTTGTAGTGAGCCTAATTCCCATGAAGTCACTTGCTTGGGGAAAAGAGGGTGATTCACCCCCTTTTGAAGTATCACCTTGTTGTCTACCCCTTGCAACCCTTGTGGGTGAAGAGGTTGCCTTCACTTGTTATCTCTTCCCATTGCACAAGAATGAATTGCACAAAACTCACCTCCTCTTTCAAAATATAATGAGCAACCCACCAAACCTCCAAACACCAAAAACTCTAACAATTCCTCAAATTTCAAGGACATAAAGAATTTAGAAATTAAAACAATGTTAAGGTATAATTGGACTTGAAATTGAGGGAAAAGGGATTGGATGTGGGAAAGATGGGGTTAGGGTGCGAGGAAGGGGAATGTATAATTGCTAAGGGATAGAGGGGGTGATGAATTGGGGTTTTGGATAAAGAATAGAATGAATGGGATTGTAGAATTGGAGAAAAAGGGTCTAAAAGGGGCAAAAATTCAGGTCTTGCTTGGAATGCCGCTGGTAGCGGCTAAGGGCCCGCTGCCAGCGGCTTAGGCAGGAAGTTGGCTGGGGTTTGCTGGAAGACCCGCTGGCAGCGGCTTGGGACCCGCAGCAGGCATTTTTTTTTTTTTTTTTTTTTTTGCTGAGAGGGACCCGCTGGCAGCGACACCAGACCCGCTACCAGCGGTTGGGGCAGAAAATATGGAGTTTGGCTGCTGGGAGAACCGCTGGTAGCGGCTGCAGGGATTGCCCCCCTTGGTCTGTTTTTACCTGTTTTTTGCTGCTTTTCGCGCACAACGATCACTCCCAAGGCATCCACCTACACAAACACATTAAAAACACTCTTCACATCACGACAAAAATAAAGAAAACTAAACTACGAGAAAACGGGGAAAGGGTTTTCTCTCGGGTTGCCTCCTGATTAGCGCCTTTATTTTACGTCGTTGGCTCGACGCGGCTCATCCCACTTCGCTACTCCATTGATGGCTCGTAGAGGTCGATGCTCTCTACGTTCTCGGTTTTGAATCCGTCAGAGTATGGCTTGAGCCTCTGTCCATTCACCTTGAAGGCATTGTCTGTCTCAAAACTTCGAACTTCTACCACTCCATGCGGATAGAACTTGTCCACCTGAAATGGACCCTTCCAACGAGATCGGAGTTTATCAGGAAATAATTTGAGTCGAGATTTATACAGAATGACTTTGTCACCGATTTTAGCCTTCTTCCGAGCAATCATCTTGTCATGCTACAACTTATTCTTCTCCTTGTGGTATAAATGGGACAATTTCTTGCCCGGAATTGCTGACGGGGTGGGTGTTGCACCTGGTGGTATAGGTGGAAGCTTGGACTGTTCATTCAATTCCGCCACCTTCACCTGCACATTAGTAGGCATAGAAAAATCCAAGCAATCACCAGACACAACATTAGTTATACGTATGAGGAGCTCATCCCCACGATCAATGTTAGAAACATCATGCAGTATTGGATCGACAACATTTATGGAACATAAAGAATGAGTGTCAACAGGATACTTTATGGAATCATAAATGTTATACACAATTGCTTTCCCATCAACCTCCATAGTAAAAGAACCAGTAGACACATCGATTTTTGTCTTAGCAGTCTTCAAGAAAGGTCTTCCTAACAGGATGGGGACTGCTTGTTTGTCATGTTCCATGTCAAGCACATAAAAGTCAGCAGGAAAAATCAATCCATCAACCTTAACCAACACATCTTCCACCACCCCCTTAGGATACACATTAGACCTATCAGCTAACTGAATCACTACCCCAGTTTCATGTAAAGGTCCAAGTTCCAAAGATTTAAACAGGGAATATGGAATAACATTGATTGATGCACCTAGGTCCAACATGGCCCAGTGCAATGTGGTGTCTTTTATTGTAACAGGAACAGTAAACATACCAGGATCACCACATTTTTCTGGGAGTTTCTTTTGGAAAACCGCAGAAACATGAGCACTCACCTTTACCTTCTCTTTTCCTCCCAACCTGTGCTTTCTCTTGATAGTGCACAGTTCTTTCATAAACTTAGCAAAACGAGGAATACTTTTAATCACATTCAAGAGGGGCATATTTACCTCACATTTGCTGAAAGTCTCATAAATATCCTTGTCTTTCTCATACCTTCGAGTATCTTGCAAGGCTTCAGGGAAAGGTGGCACAGGCTCATAAGAGGGAAAGGTTGGCGGATTCGCCTCAGTTTCTTGTTCTAATTCCTCCTCTTCAACTCCAATCAAGTCTTTAGCCCTCTTAGTTGCAATTACAGTCTGTTGCAACTCTTTGCCACTTCTCAATGTTATTGCGTTGACCTGTTGCTTAGGATTCAACTCCGTTTGAGATGGAAGTTTTCCCGAATCCTTAGCTTCAAGTCTGCTCACCGCACTTGAGATTTGACTAACTTGATTTTCCAAATTCTGAATACTTGATTTGGTTTCTTGTTGAATTGCACCATATTTTGCTGCATAGTAGAAACATTAGAAGTTAGTGATCTAATCATTTCTTCATTTGACATATTACCTGAATTCGAGCTTTGGCCTTGAGGTTTTGGGAATGGTGCCCTATATTGCTGAAACTGCTGCTGGCCTTGAGCATTTTGATGTTGTTGCTTTCCTTGGGAATTCCCATATCTCAAATTTGGATGATCCCTCCATCTTGGGTTGTAGGTATTTGAGAAGGGATCATATCTTCTCTGAGGACCTTGCCCTTGGAAACCCATTGCATTTGCCTGCTCATTTAGCTCCTCTTGCAATGTAGGACATGAATCAGTGGGATGTCCCATTGAGGTGCATATACCGCAAGCATTCAGCTGTTGTTGATTCCTTGAGTTCACCATGAACTCGCGCATCATAGAAGTCAAATCAGCTACTTGGCTTTCTAATTCAGTGGTATTTGAGTTTGCTGCATTCACTCGGCGCGTGGAAGTTCTCTAACTGAATTCCCTAGAGTTCTCTGCTAGCTCTGCAATCAACCTAGTTGCATCTCCTGGAGTCTTATTTACTAGCCCTCCTCCACTGGCTGCATTCACCATCCTCAAGCCTTCATCGGTTAGACCTCCATAGAAGTATAGGATGAGGTCTTGTTCGGAATACCCATGGTAAGGACAACTAGCACACAATCTCTTAAATATCTGCCAATACTCATACAAGGATTCATCTTCCTTCTGATCCACATTGCTGATAGCTTTCTTAAGGCTTGCAGAAATAGTGGCTGGGTAGTACTTCTCAAGGAAACACTTCTTTAAATCTGCCCAAGCTGTTTTGCTACCTGGGGGAAGATAGTAAAACCAATCCTTTGCTGCATCTTTGATAGAAAAAGGAAATGCTCTCAACTGAATTTTCTCATCAGTCATTCCAATCGGTTTCATACTAGTGCATACCACATGAAATTCTGCCAGATGTTTATTTGGATCTTCACCTTTCATGCCATGGAATGCCGGTAATAGATGAATTAGACCGGATTTGATCTCAACATTAGTACCTTCCTCCAACTGCTGATATGCAATGCACAACGGCTGTTGGTTCAAGTTGGGAGCTGTGAGTTCTCTTAGAGTTCGATTGTCAGCCATCTCCTCTTCTTCTTGAATATTGAAAGTGTATGTTGATTCACTGGGGGTTGTTCTTGTCTCTTTTCGCAACCTGGAAATAATTCTTTCTATTTCTGGGTTTAACTGCAAAAGTTCTTTGTTAGCAGAACGGGTATTTATCATACCCAAGAAAAACAAACAAACAAAGTAGCCAAGAACCAATCCTAAAATAAATTCTATACAGATAAACAATTAAAAAGTAACGCCTTATCCCCAGCAACGGCGCCAAAATTTGGTGTGCCTCGGTCGTATGCAACCAAAAATATCACAACTTATCTAACTTCAAATAAACGTAGCTAGGGAAGTCGAGTTCGTATCCACAGGGAGAAGGGACCTAATAATCGGAATCCTATATAGAATTATGTTAGGCAAGTAGTAACCTAAGTAACAGTGGGGGTTTTCACGAGTAATGAAATCTAATGAACTAAACAAGAACAATAAATTAAGTGAATAGGAAATCAATGAGAGGAACGGTCTTGGTTATGCGAAATCCACTAATGAACTTACAAATTGATCATAGAAGTCTCTTCAATCAAACACTATTGAACACCTTGTTGTAGAATTCCTAGATTCTATATTCTCATAAATTAGTTAGAAATAGCAAAGCGCTCCTTTCTAACCCTTTCTAATGCACAATTTAAGACAAGCGCTCTAAATTATCCACAAGAAGTAAATAAACGGAGAAATCAACAAGGATTGAATAAATTAACACAAGCGGTCTAATTTCTTCAACAATATTATTCCTTCTTCAAGTTATCAACCAAAAGCATGCATTCATAACCTAAAGTTGCTACTTTGGAAAGATTAATTAGATGCAAGCGAATCTAACAATTCTAACCTAGCAATTGATTAAAGCAAATCATAAAATTAATTCAAAGGAATAAGAAATATTCAATAGATATCAAGAGAAGAGAAATCTCACAATTCGTAGTCAAAAGCTTCAATCTTTAACCAAGAATCCGGGAAGATTAAGCTTCCATGGATTTCAATTCTCAAACAAAGATTTTCTGAAAATTGTAAAAACTAAGAGATTGCCCAAGTAAAAGATAGATCCTTAAACCTAAACAAAAACTACCTATTTATATGTTTCCTTAACTTAATTAACATAATACAATAATAATAATAAAGTAATATCCAAACACGTGCCAAAACAAAGCCAAAATTGCTGAAAAAGAAGCCAAAAAGCCTCGAAAAACTGGAAGTGCCGCTGCCAACGGCTATGGAGCAGCTGGCAGCGGCTATGGCGGAAGCTCAAGCTCTTCTTCCTCTGTAATCCCCGCTGCCACCGGCTCTGGCCACCTGCCAGCGGCCCTGGCAGCTTCTTGCTCCCGTTTCTGCTGTTTTTTCCTTCTTGCTTTGCTTACTTTCTTGCTTTGCTTCCTCTCTTCTTCAAACTTGCTTTCTTGCCTCCTTGTGAATCAAAAAGCCATGCTTCATACACTCTCAAATCATCATCGAAGGTCCTCCTACTCATAGTACTCTTCACTTCATTCCCGAGCTCAACTCACTCACTTTCACTCATAATTCTCCTCTTTTGCACATAAGTGAGACAACGAGTCAAAACTCACAAAAGCTAATAAAATTACATGTAAAGCATCAAAACACACCCTAAAATGCTTCTCTCAACACATGATAAGAAGGCTTATCAGCGTGCTGGTGCTGCGAAGGCTGCGATGCTGGGCTGCCAGCACGCCAAGCAAGCACGCATGGCTGCGATGCTTGCGAGGGGTGCTGGACTCTGCTGTGCGCCAGCGCCCAGCCAGCCAGCAAGGCCTAGCCTTGCGATGGCTGCTGGGCAGGCCGTGCGCTAGCGCCTAGCATACTAGCAAGGGCCTAGCCTTGCGATGCATGCTAGGCTTCTGATTGGCATTCCGGTTCAAGTTAGCCTACCCTTCGCATGGCTATGCCAAATGCGAGGCTACGGACTAACTTAGACTTGTATTGATTGATTTCACATCTTGTCGAATTCTAAATTCGTCTAGACTTGCGACGCTCGGACTCGACGCCCCAGGCTCGATATCTGACGTCTTTGTTCGTAATACTCTAACGACTCATCAAATCCTTCGGATTGATTCGTCGTATCGGATCGGTTGTTCGATTGGGTTCGACCCGAAGGGTTTAGTCAAGATTAAGCTGTGATATAAATATCACTGATCGGAAGCGGCCTCCACCTAGGCATTTCGATCACTTGATCATACTGAAGAATTAGCTCTCTGATAATTCTGAACCCTTTATCGGAATAATACACTTGTTGGAAGGACACCATTCCTTTCAATCTCCCACTTGTCCTTCCGGACAAGTGTGCAATTTGTGTATAGCCCTTTACCTATGTCGCTTAATGCCTCTTCATGAACTATAAGGTAAGATTATTCGTCATCCTTACTATGTTCAGAAGTGTTTCTCGATTCTCGAGTTTGACTGTCAATAAGCAGATGATTTCTAAAATCCATCTGAGCACGGCCATGCATTTTCACAGTCTCGCTCATCGAGAGGCCTTGTAAACAACAAAGACATGTTTCCTATTGTTAATAGGGGTACATTCCCAGTCTTGCATTGTAACCTTCTCTTACTAAGAGGACTTAGTCGCCTTAGTGTTGCCGTTATAATCCCCAGTTACGGCAAACGTTTGACAACATCAAAACGGCTAGTACTCAAACAAGAGAACTTGCAATACTCATGGTCGAGGAAATGGGTTCCGACAGTTATAATGAGAGATATACTTATGACGATTTGATATCTCTTAAAGTATTCTCATAGGTCTATCCGGCACAGTTCTAAACTAGTACCCGTGCAAATGATTTATGACTATCAAGTCCTAGTAGCACAAGAAACAGTGCTATAAATCATACTACACTATAATCTCAAGCGGTCATTAGTCGTCCATCTTTTAAATGACCTTGTTTAGGGATTCTTTTCGATTAAATATTCAATGTTCACTTAACAGGTGTTCCTTTATCCAAGACATGGTCTTGATACCCTGTTTTGAATATTCTCATAAATCGAATGGACTCATTATTTAATTCTAAACCACAATTAAATAGATATGGAGTGATCATAAAATTTGTATAAAATTTGATTTCTCCAAATTGAATGGTTTTCGACATAGAGTTTTACATTAAGACAACTGGTATTAATTAAAACTTCTATACAGGGAATTCAAAGCCAATCTCCAATGAGCTTGATTCCCATTGCCTCAATATGCTTGTTGTGCTTCTCTTGAGGCAAAGGTTTAGCCAAAGGATCAGCTACATTGTCGTCCGTTCCTATCTTACAAATTCTGATTTCACCCTCGGATTTCCATTCCCTTATCATGTGAAATCGCCGCTTGACATGTTTGACCTTCTGATGTTCCCTTGGCTCCCTGGCCTGAGCAATAGCTCCATTGTTGTCGCAATAGAGATCTATTGGACCCTTGATTGAGGGTACAACACCAAGTTCTCCAATGAACTTTTGAATCCAAACTGCCTCCTTGGCTGCTTCTGAAGCTGCCAGGTATTCGACTTCAGTTGTAGAATCTGTAATGGTGCTTTGCTTAGCACTCTTCCAGCTAAACGCTCCACCATTAAGGCAGAATATTTACCCCGACTGTGATTTGGAGTCATCTCTGTCGGTCTGGAAGCTTGCGTCAGTGTAACCTTCAACAACAAATTCTTTACAGCCACCATAGACCAGGAATTTATCCTTGTTCCTTTTCAGGTACTTTAGGATATTCTTGGCCGCAGTCCAATGCGCCTCTCCTAGGTCTGATTGGTATCGGCTCGTAGCACTCAAGTCATACGATACATCCGGCCTAGTACATATCATGGCATACATGATCGATCCAATAAGCGAAGCATATGGAATCTGACTCATTCTCTCTCGCTCACCAGGTGTCTGTGGACACTGTTTCTTGCTGAGAGTTATGCCATGGGACATGGGTAGGTGCCCTCTTTTGGCCCCTTCCATGTTGAATCGTGCCAGTACCTTATTGATATAAGTACTTTGGCTCAATTCAATCATTCTCTTAGATCTATCCCTGTAGATCTTGATCCCTAATATGTATTGTGCCTCTCCCAAGTCTTTCATTGAAAAACACTTTCCCAACCAGTCCTTTACGGACTCTAATAGTTTGGTGCTGTTTCCAATGAGAAGTATGTCATCGACATATAAGACTAGGAAGGCGATGTCACTCCCACTAACTTTCTTGTATACACAAGACTCATCTAGATTCTTGATAAAACCAAATTTGCTAATGGCTTCATCGAATCGCAGATTCCAACTTC